TTCTGCATCTCCCTTTCCCCACCTATTTAGGATGAAATAAAACACTACATAACCACAACCAACGATTAACAAACAGACAACACATATGACTCCTACAGCTATAACTTTTGCTCGAGAAGACCATCCCTTATAAGGGACAAATGAAGGCAAATTTTCTGTCACCAAAGCATCACCAATTGAAAAATTCGAATTACTAAAGCTCCAAGCAAGAATCCTAACACTATCTTTTTTCACCCCATTGGCTGCACAGAATCCAACATAAGTTTCATTGCTAAGAACCTTAGAAAGGCTAAGATTCGTGCTGATAAGAGGCACATTAGGCCTCTTTCTTCCTGCTCGAGCCATCGTAACGTTTAGATGAGGTTGGATAAACTCAATCCATACTTGATAGTTTTCTCCACTTTTTATGTTCAGCACTTTAAATTTCTTGCCATCTTTCCCACCCCAATAGCCAGCCGTGTGCGAAGTTAAGGATGTAAGAGAGTTTATGTCGATACCAACATGATTATCATTTATATCGTTGAATTCTTCGTTTTTAACTACATCGAATTCTACTCCAAATATATGATCATTATGATCACCTTCATTGGTGTAGTTGAGGAGACCGATATACTCTGTCGATACTGTTCCATTTAGAGTTCTTGAAGGCGCGAATATGAAAGCAAAACCATGTCCTGTGATGAAGTTTGCAACAGGAGCAACAGAGAAAATGAAGGAAGTAGCAAAGGGGAGAAGAGTGGAAGAGTTTGGTGGTTTGGTAGGTAATATTTTCGGGTAAAAAGCGCGAGCTATTGCGAAGGAAGGTGAAGTATGATTAATGAGAGTAAGAATGGATTTGTTAATGGTTGCATTTCCATATAAGTCGATGTTTGTGGAGTTGAAGTTTGTATTATAGACAAATTCAGTAGTTGAAACACAAGAAAGAATCATGGTTACAGTGTGAAGAAGAATAGGAAGTAGCTTAAGTTGAGGCATTGGGATAGGACTGAGAATGAAAGAGAAATTGTTGCTATATTGAGTTTATTTGATATTAGATGGTAGGAAAAGGGAACGAGTGGTTGCTAAAACATGCTATAGTATATACTTGTTTGAAAAATGATGAATGTATGTGATCCACACATGACTTAATAAGTCAACACAATAATTCCAACGCGGTATACTAATTTGGCAGCTTAACATATACCAATTCAAACTTGACATACTAACAGCAGGTTTTCCTGAGTGCCCTGTGGTATGCAAGGCCAGCAAGAACATTTACCTTAGACCCCAAAAGAAATGTACATAGTACATATTATACTATAGTATGAATTTTTCCCCATCCTTTAAATCTCAAATTCTTGGAATAAAAATTCATACTCACCACCTTTCTTTACTTAATAATTCCGAATTTGTATTTGAATAGCTTAAATAGTTAATTAGTCTTTGTAAATTAAGTGTTTTTGTTTTTTTGTTTCTGTATTTTTTTTAATAAGGTCCTTAAATGTTGAATCTACCATATAAGAAAGGAAAAGCCTCTAGAAAATATTTCTTTGTCCTTTAGTCTTCTTCTACCAACACATCATTTTGAGGATATTTTATGTCTAAATATTACTTTTTCTAATCGATGATGTCATTTTGTTCTATTTCAACTATATGTTTATTCAATTTGGTCTTTGTTTATTAGGTGTGGATTATTGGATGATGTCATTTGGTTCCATTGGAACAACTTTTTCTTTCTGAATGTACTATTCTTTCTGAGCATACTATACTATGACCATTTTGTTTATTATCTTCCTTTTCTTTTTGTACTATTCTCTCTCTCTCTCTCAACTTCTCCCGATTCATTGTTCATCCTCTTTTACTCATTTTTAATGTTCATTTTCAATATTGAATTTCAGACAGGTTTGATTTTGTTTTTGATTTAGCGTTTGTTGTTTCAGGTCTGGTGATGTTGGCTCATGCGGAAAAGGGGAAGATTCGCAGACAGTGCGATTTTTGATGGCTCCACGTGCGGCGCCTTTGTGACCTTAAAAATAAGTCGTAAACGGATCGTAATCTTTTAACACTACAACTTGAAGCTCGGAAAACAAAACCGGGTCGAATTACCTTTTAACACTACAACTTGAAGCTCGGAAAACAAAACCGGGTCGAATTTGCTTTGGTGAAAAAAAACTGTGTTTCTGTGGTGAGACCAGATTGAAACTGCTACTGATTGAAAGCTTTAAAAAATAGCCATAGCCTGAACCCAGAAGTCATGTTTGTTGTTTCAAGTTTTCTCTTTCATTTATCTTTTGTGATTCATCCACCGGATCGAAACTGCTACTGATTGAAAGCTTGAAAAAAATATTCATAGCTTGAATTCGGAAGTCATGTTTGTTGTTTCACGTTTTCTCTTTCATCTATCTTTTATGATTCATCCACCCGGTCGAAACTGCTACTGATTGAAAGCTTGAAAAAAATAGCCATAGCTTGAATCTGGAAGTCATGTTTGTTGTTTCATGTTTTCTCTTTCATCTATCTTTTATAATTCATTGAGTCTTCTTCATTTGTCAAATGTTGTGTTATTTTACTACTTCTTCATCTATTTACTAACATCGGAAGAATATTAAAACCCTCCCCATTTGATTTTTAACTTCGCTATATTTTTGTTTTCTAGGGTCTTCAAGTTTGATCTCTTGGTTCCTAACTTCTTTTTTCAACAACAACAAAGAATTTGTAGGTAAAATAGAAAGATTTAATTAAGTGAGAAAACAAACAAATTGGGAAAGTTAGGGTTTTGATTTCATTGGTGTTGATAACGAAAAGAGGATAATTTATACTAGATTCATTTGTTTTTGTTTTAAAAATTAAAATTTATTTGTATTTTTAAAAAAAAATCATAATATTTTTAAAATAATAAAAGTTTTATTAAAATATATTTATAAATTAAAGGATTAATTTTCAAATTTAATACAATAAATATATTATACTAAAGATTAAAACATAATTAAAATCATGTAATGTTTCAAAAAAAATATATTTCAAAAATAATTTTAATAAAAAGTTATTAAAATAGCTTCAAGTTTAAGTAATTTTATTTTGAAAATTTACTCATAAAAAATAATTATAATAAAATGATAAAATACATAAAATAACATTTTATAAAATTATTCAAACTAATTTTACGTTTGAAACTCTTTAACAAAATATTACACACTATAAAAATAATTTTAAAAAAATTGAAACAAATAAACCTTTTATCATGTTCTTTCAATTTCATCATCTTTTTATCGATTCAAAGTGTAAAGAATAACTTTGTTCCATTCCATTCATTCAAACATAACTATGTTTAAATATTATAAAACAAATTAGGTGGAATAAAATGGAGCAAAATAGAACAGAGCAGAATAGAATGAAAGAGAACAAATCAAAATAAAATAAAAATATCATTTATTGATTGAATATTTCATGATAGAATTGGATAATTTTGTCATTCCTCTAAAACCTTAGTCATAATTTCACAATTCTTATTAATCAAACTTCTCCCACTAGAAGAACATTGCTTATTCTCTTAAACATCCTTAACCACTCTCATAGAGTTCACACGAACTTCAACTTTTGAGAACTTCATTCGCCTAGCTAGATTGAGCCTTTCAAGCAACCCCAAAGCTCCGCTAAATAAGCATCTTCACTCCTAATGACTTTTGATAACCCACTAAGCCATTCTCCAACACTTCCTCTAATAACACCCCCACACCCAATGACTCCATTCTCGCAAGCTCCAATGCTCCATCAATATTTAAACAAACCCATTCAGCACTATGAGGCTTATAACCCACCTGAATTGTGTTTTGCTATCTGAGGTAAAAAAATATTCTCCTCTAGCTCCATTCCACTTCACATTTGTTTTCACACTTGTCACATAGTGCATAATAACCTTTATCATCACCTCTGGTAACCCTACCTCCATTAGCACTTGCCAAATGAAATTCCAGTTTAATTTATCATATGCTTTTGATAAGTTGACTTTGATGGCAAAGTAACTTTTAAGTAATTTATCAAATGGAATTCATTTTAAAGTTTTTGATAAATTGTATTCATATTTAAGTTGTATCTATATTTAAAAAGTATAGATGAATTGTTTTATTAAGAATTAATAATATAAAAAAGTTAGTGGGTCCATTTTTGGATGTAGATACTCTAAGATAAGATGATTTTTATTAATGTTTAACTACGAAGCACATATATCTTTAAAAGTTTAGGTGTTGCGGTGTTTGACATGTGTTAGCGTTCGACTCTTATATGACATTCATACGATATATGTTAAAAAGTCAGACAAAGATTAGAAAAATTATACGAATGTCTCCAAAAAAAATTATTTTCTTAAAAACTCTTTAAGTCGGTGTCCAATATAAGTATGCACTCATCCAACACGTATTAAACAATGTTTAAAAAAACTAATTTTTATTTGATTCAACATATATACTTTTTTTTTTTACAAATCTCACCCATATTTAAAATGGTTAAACATATTGAAACAATATTATTAACGAAAAATTAAAAATATTAATTTTGATTATAATATTTTTAAGTTTTCTTAATAGTAGATGGATAACTAAGGATAAATAATAGTATATATGTAATGATGTCGGTGCTTTTTATTTTAAAGTATCTTATTGTGTCGTGTCTTCGTGTCAATGTTGGAATCCATGGTGTTTGACAATTGTCAACTTATATGTAGGTTGTTGGACTAGGAGTTATAAGCATTGTTTGGTGGTTGGAATGAGAAATTTATATAGTTGAATGATAAGGAGAAAGAGAGTTCCATCCTCAAACCACAACATGATACTAGTTATACTAAAATTTCCAAAATTAAAAAGGTTTTCATTGTAAATAAAATCATACAGAGTTCTTGCTCAAATCAAATTACTTAATGAAATCACAGATACAATGCATAGAATATAAATCACACTAGCACAAGAGAATCTTTTGTCACACAACCATTAGCATGAGACTCTTAGCTTCCACTGCCACAATCACAATCAGATGCTTTGTTTGTCCAGGAACTCAATGATGAGCTTGTTCACTTTCTCTGGGAATTGTTCACCCAAAAAATGCCTTCCTTCTGGAACATATGTGATTTCCAAATCCGGCACAAAATGTTTCACCACCCCACTTCGGATGTACTCTTCCATGCCAGGAAACTTGAAGCAATAGTCTTCCTCACCCATTACCAGCAATGCAGGGACATTGACTTTAGGGTCAACTAGGCCACTTTCCACTGTCAGAGATCTGCGTTGATCGAAATTCAGTTCCATTAGACACGAATATAACGCAATCTAGAAGTTAATGGATATTGAGTTGAATTGTGAGATTTTGATTACCTGTATGGAACCTGCAAGGCAAATCTGAAGCCAGATTTTTCGTATAAAGATGCGTAAACGTTCAAGTCTTCCTCAGAGAACCACGGCGGGAGAGGAGTTGATGGGTTAAACAAGTCCATGATTTCTTGATCATCACCTGCTACTGGCACCTCACTTTTAGAGAACAGAATATAGATGTTCCTTATAACCGACTTAACATCGAATCGGCCAAAATCTGCCTCTGCCCTTCCAGGCTCCTGAATTATTTTATACTCAATAATTCATCATTGTCATAACTCATAAACTACTCCGAAGACAAATACAAACAAAAAAATACATGTATATCTGGTCTAATATAGATCAGATATACATGTATTTTGTTTTGATTATATGGTCAGGGAGGAATAACAAAGAAGATGAAAATATTATGGAAGAGAATTTACACCTGCCACCTAGTAATGTAAAAGCCTTTTGGGAGAAGATCGTTTTTGACAGCAGAAGCACCAGGATTGATGAAAGGAATGCCTAAAGTTATGACAGAAGCTACTTTTTCCGGATAGACAACTGCTACAAGATATGCTATGATGGCACCAAAGTCCTGACCAATAATGAAAGCCTGATAGAAGCAATTGAAATTGCACAAGCCAAGAAAACATGTTATTTGCCTCAATTGGAAAAGTCTTTGATCTTGTCTAAGAAGCATATACACCTCTAGAACTAGGCGTGTTGGAAAAGTCGGACAAGTGTCCACACAAAAAATGGTTTACATCTTTGATTCAACGTTCTTTGAATTGGTGTCCAACACTTATATTCAACAAAACACGAGATACTATACTAGGTAAAAATTGATTGTATAGAACATCTTGGTTGTTACCTTGTTGATTTCCAATGAATCTAAAAGATCCTTGACTTCATGAACAAGGTCCAATGAAGATGCTTTTTCTGGCTCTTGTGGATGATCAGAAAGTCCATAGCCTCTAAAATCAAAGGCAATAGCCCGATATCCAGCATTTGCAACAGCAATCATTTGGTTTCTCCATGTATACCATATTTCTGGAAATCCATGTAAGAAAACAACAACCTTTTCACCTGAACAAACAAAAACAGTGTTATAATAGTGTTGAAATGAATCAATGAAGAAAAATTTGTGATGTAAGAGTTTTGATATACCAGATCCAATTTCAGCTACATGAAGCTTTAGTCCCTTCACCTCCACATAACTGTGCTTGATGTTTTCCATGTTGGTTGCAGTGTGAAGTGTGTGAGTGTGTGTGAAGGAGTTATGATGGCAAAAGAAGAGAAAACAACAAAGGTTTAGGACAAATGAAGCACCTAGCTTGTTTACCACAGGTTCAGATGGAGACAAGTTAGAGCAGATTTTTAGATGCTGTTTTGTAAAATATAGTCAATGGTGAATGATTGAGGCTTGTGTGGTTAAGTGTATTTAATAGGGTTTAATAGTCATAGCCAATGCAAGCACTTCAAAACTATTTAAAGAGTTAGTTATGATAAAAATTAAATATTTTTAATAGTTTAACGGTTGCAATTACTAAAAATGTAAAATTCATTACTTAATATATAAGAATTAAATTCTATTTTTAGCATAGTCTTTTTTCAACGAAGCACGAACATGTTAATATTTCTGCCGAATTGTTAAGACATATCGATACATTGATATGCTTTGGTATTGCGCCTATACGAATTAAAGAAGTATAAGAATTTAGTTATTTTAAAAAATAAATATTTTTTTTTTGTCTTCTATACTTTATGTATACGTGACTTTTCAATTTCTATTTTAATATATTGTCTCCAATACTTCACATGTATGTGATTTTTCAATTTTCAGCATATTTTTTTCTTTTATTCTTTTATGACTTTCTATTTCTTTTTAATTTAGTTTAAATGTATTTTTGATCCTTGATGGATAATTTATTATTTAATATTTTTTAAATTAAAAAATTTATAATTCTAATTAAATTTTTTTTTCATAATGCGCAATCTCTTATTTTCCATGTGAATCTTATGAAGTTATTGGCCAATACTTAGAAGATTACATTTGATTCCTGGAATGTACAAAACATCTTTGATCAAGAAATATCCATCATCCCTCCTCATGATCAAAACATCACTGATCTCATCGGAAATTAGAGTTGTGTCATCCGCGAACTTTACTTTGTTCTTCATGGCATGATTGATTTTGACAAACCAATCATTCCTTCCTGTCATATGAGTTGAACAACCCGAGTCCAAATACCACTCCTCGATGCATTGAACTCCTTTCATACTCATCATGGCGTCTTCCTTTTCATGCAACCGATTAACTGTATCATTCAACCGGTCACAACTCAATTTTTCAGAATTCTTTGAGTTGTTGTTGTTATCCCGTAGCTTGTAGTTGCTACATTCTCCTTACATGATCATGATCAAGAGTGTATTCTCTTCATCAACCTCTTGCCTTGCAAACTTGGTTTCATCTCATTAAGATTCCTTCTTGTTCATAGTGCACTCTTTTGCAAAATGATCAAACCTTTGACACTTATAGCATGGTTCCTTGCTCTTGTCAAACCTCTTATTCTCACTTCTAAAGTTTACTTGACCATCATTTTTATTGCAACTGCTCTCACCCCTTTGACAAGTCGAATTCTTTGAATTTTGAGACTCTCTTCCACCAAAATTATGAAAAAATTCTTTTTGTTATTCATGGGTCATTTTTCTTTCGATCTCTTGTCTTTATCATTGAAGCAAGCTTGCAAAGTGATCTCCATCTTTGCCTTATCATTATTTTTCTCCTTCATCCTTTGCTCACGAGCCTCGAGAGAGCTTTGCAGCTCCTATTTACTCATTGTGTCAAGACTCCTCGATTCCTCAATCACCACAACTACATTGTCAAATCTTAGTGTTAAAGAATGCAAGATTTTCGTGACAACATACTGCTCCGTAACAGCTTGATCGCATGCCTTCACTTGATTTATCAACCGAGTGATTCTTGTTGCGAAATCGTTGATTGTCTCCTTTTCTCCCATTTGAATCAATTCGAAATGACGTTTATGAGTTTGTAACCTCACCACTTTCGCCTTGTCATCCCCTGCATAGGTCTTCTCTAAGATCTCTCACGCTTGCTTTGACGATTCATTGTCACCAACTTTCTCAAAATTGTCGCCATCAACATATTGATGGATAAAAAAACAACGCCTTAAAATCGTTCTTCTTCTCTTCCTTATGTGTTACTTGTTGTGCTTCTGTTGCGTCTTGAACAAGAGGAGTAACATCACTCTTGATCACTTCAAGAACATCTTGGTATCCAAACAATATCTTCATTTGCTTGCACCATTTGTCGTAATTCTTTGCATCAAGAATAGGTTAGTTTGCAGGGATTCTTTCATTGGAAACAGAATTCATGTTGCACATAAGGTGTTTGTGGATCAGAACCAAGATCTTGATGCCAAATGTTGGAACAATGAACCACAAGGTTGGTGAACAATGGTTGAGAAACTTTGAATGTGGATAGCGAAAGAGAATAATTGATAGAGAGAGAGAGAGAGAGAGATGATTGAGGGTGAGAAGTTATGATTGCATTAACCTAGGATCAGAATGCATCCATTACATTTATACAAAGGTTACAATGTAATTGGAAGTCAAAACAACCAATTAAAATAACAGAAAATTACAAAAATCGGGGTCGTAACCAATTACACCATTTGGTTAACTGGTTACACTTGGCAAATAATTAAGTTCAACTTAGTGGTAACCGGTTAAAGCCACAGGTTAACTGATTACAACAACGAAAAATTCATTTTTTTTGTTACTGGAATGAGTTATTGGCCCTGTTGTAGCCGGTTACCACCCCGTGTTACCAGTTACAACACTTGAATTACTTGAATACCCTTTAACAAATGCTGGAAGAAGAAAATGTTGGAAGTAACATGAAGAAGAATGGTATTTAACTTGTAAATGCGCCTAAGAGGGGGGTGAATTAGGTTCTCAAAAATTATTTGCAACCTTTTTCGGTTATGATGTTAGGACTTGAAAATAAAGTGCGGAAGATAAAAAGAGACACAAGAAATTTATAGTGGTTCCCCTCACACTCCGAGAGTACTCCACTCCCCTTTCGACTCGAAAGAGATTTCACTATAGTTTAGAATGATTGCACAACGTAATCACACCAATGGTGAAGCCTACTATCTAATCTATAGGTAATCCAAGTGTAGGAAGAACAATCCTCTTCACACACTCACTTGTTTCCAACAGTCCTGGATAACAAGGTAATACAAAGAAAGTAATCTTGAAATAAGTTGATGTCTTGAGAATATAGTGATGCTATCAATCTTGACGATCGATCTTCTCCTTGAAACAAATATTACTCAAAGAGATATACAAGTGTTCTTTTAAAAGGAAATGAAATGAAGTTGTGATAGTGTGAAAGTTTATTCAAAAAGCTTCTTTTCAAAAACTAGTTTTGAACACTTTATGAAAAATTGAGAGATAAAGAAAATGAGTAATTTTTATGATTTTGTTTCTTGGAGGTGAATTGGAATTTGAAATCTGATATCAATTTATACTGATCAAAAAACCTTTCCAAAAGGGTGTGCTTTTATGCAGTAAAAACAATCAGAAATCAAAATGAAATCAATGCATATTTTCATGAAAAGCTGCTATTTTTGCTTACTATTTCAGTGTTAATCGGTTAACCAAATAGGTTAATCGGTTAACACCCTTCAACGTTTAAAAGTATTCAAAATTTACACATGTTAATCGGTTAACCATATAGGTTAATCGGTTAACACTGTAATAAAATCACCAATAAATTAATTTTTAGATCCGTTAACTGGTTAACCAAAAGGGTTAATCGGTTAACATTGAAAGATTTTCAAAATAAAATTATTTTTAACATGAGTGAGTAACCAAAAAATGTTTTAAAAGTATTTGTGATATATGTGTAGTGAGATATGAATTTTTGAACACTTGTATAGGTATTTTCAAGTAATATTTGTTATACCTTTGAATTGATGTTCAAAACTCTATCTTCCACACTTGAAGCTTGTATGAGAAGCTTGGTCACAATTGTCACATGTTAGAGCATTATCTTGATCCTTAATGTTTACTTGAAACTCTTGATTTTTGTGTATGTATGTGTTACGTAGAAAGCTTGTTCTTGTTGACTTCACCAAAACTTTAATGAGCTTGAAGCTTGCTTCTACAATCTCCCCCTTTTTGATGATGACAACCAATCTTTGAAATTGAAAGCTTGATTGATCCTTGGTTTCTCTATACTAGTTTCTCCTTCTAAGTTAAGGTTCCCCTTAATACAAGAGGTATAACTTTTTCTGCACAAGGAAACTTTAGAGAGACCAATCCTTTTCCCCCTTTGTCATTAGCAAAAAGGAAGAGGAGCATATGATAATTAAATTAAACATACGATACACACATAAAATAAGCCCAACACATATACTTAACACAACAAACACAAATTTTTTTAACGATACGATAACACACGCGCATAGTACGGTACAGTTACGAAATAAGCACTTAACCACACATTAAAAACAGATTTGACTAATTTTTCGTTTTTGTTTTAAAAATTACGAACAGTGTTAATCGGTTAACCGTGTGGGTTAATCGATTAACGCATTTAAAATTTAATTTGGAAAACAAAAACTAACAGTGTTAATCGGTTAACCATATGGGTTAATCGGTTAACGCCTTCGAAAATGCAGGAAAAGCCAAAAAACAGTAAGTGAAAAACTTGGTATACATAGATGCTTATAAAGATTAACCTATGAATAATTAGATATCACCTTCATCGAGGATTCTGAGTTCTCGCCGAATCTTGAAAAATGGTTCTTTCGCGGGTGGTTTCGTGAATATGTCTGCAAGTTGGTTATGCGTATCTACAAAAGTGACTTCAACATCTCCTTTAAGCACGTGATCACGGAGAAAATGATGTCGAATGTCGATGTGTTTGGTTCTTGAGTGCATGACCGGATTTTTTGTGATGTTAATAGCACTTGTGTTGTCTCATCGGAGAGGAATGCATCCAATATCAATTCTGTAGTCGCTTAATTATTGCTTTAGCCAAAGGTTTTGTGCACAACAGCTTCACGCCGCTATGTATTCTGCTTCAGCCGTACTAAGAGCAACACATGCTTGTTTCTTACATGACCACGAAACTAATGCATTTCCAAGGATGTGACATGTTCCACTCGTGCTTTTTCGATCAGTTTTACAGCCTGCATAATCCGC